AACAAGCGAACAACTGCAGGAGCCGAGCCTCGTTAATCTTAATCTCCGTCGACTTGCCACCTGCCACCTGAGTGGCTCGCTTTTCGAATTGATGAAGACCCGCCAGTGGGCATCGAAATCATCATCTTTCAACCGCAACAAAGACCATTATCAAGTCTTCTGACATCGGAGAAATCCATAGAAATCCCGTGAAATCCCTGAGTTTTCAGGTGGGCGCACGGGGGAGAACAAGTGATTGGTGTTGAGGGGGGGCCCTCAATCCCCTCCACAACGTGAAAGAGAACTGGTCTCAAGGATTCTGGGACAGCTGGAGGTCCAACAAGGGTTCCATCGTGAAGAGCCTCCCCAAGCGCCTTCACCCCAAGCTCCAAATCCTTCAAGAGCTCCTGCCCCAAAGATGGTGCATCCAGTCACAAATCTGTTTCTGGGTGGTGAGACTATGTTAGACTTAGCTTCTTAGCCATTGTTCATTGTTCAGACTTCAAGACAGGTCAAGACACTCTGAACACTGGCCACTGGGACCGGCTCGCACTACTGGCCAGGAGCACCACTGTCTTGGCACAAGCTGTACAGCCATCTGCTGTCTACAATGATACCCTAAAAGGCATTGCTCAACCTGAGAGTGCCTTGCCAAAGCCTTTTGCCCGAAATGTGTCAGAATGCAAGGAAACAATGGCAAGCTCACGTCCATACACTGCAAAGTCAGTTCAAAGAAGACTTGGCATGTCTGGCAGTACCAGGACACTCAAGTTTTCGCTCCTGCTTGGTCAAGACAGCTTCACCCAGCTAAAAACACCGTCCTCCTCGGTGCTGTAAATCAGGGTCTTCAAGGAGAAGGTCTTGGGATCTCTGTAGAGTTGCAAGACCTGGCCACTTGCAGAGCTCGCAAAGCTCAGTGTAACAATTCCTCAATCGGTGGCATCCCAGTCAACCTCAGGGTAATCCTGTTGGGGATGCATCATGTCGTGGATGAGTCATTGTATCGATATTAATATGCAAATATGCTTCACAAGGCATCCTCCCTCTCTCTCTAACAAAGGAGCCCACAGGAACACTCCAACTCGTGAGTGTTTGGCCACGGGTCGCCCCGCCAACTCCGACGCAGCAAAAGAAACGAAAGAGGTGACAGGAGGCCGTCATGTTTGTTCCACAAAGAGGAACAAAGAGTGATCCAATCCATGGACAAGTGATCTGCTCCTACATCCACGACCGAGCATAAGTTGCCATAAGCAAACAGAATGAGGCTACGCTGAGGCTTGGTTGAATCAGTTGAACCAAGAAAGATTGCCAGAACTGACAAATGATCCACAGAGTAACAATCATCTATCTCAAACTGTGGGGAGCCTCTCAAAACCCTGTAACCCCCCCAGACGGTAAAGGGAGGGATCAAGCCGCGCCGCGCCTTCGAGACGAAGGCAGGCTCTCCAGACATCACTGCATGGTGTAGCGCCTCCCCCCATGGCACTCGACGGCAGATCCGACCGGCCCCGAGACGGAGACCGTTCCTGGCGTCGGTGATTCGTTTGGTGAAGACCCTTGGTCTCAAAGGAATGGAACAAAGCACAATGACACGAAAAATATGGAGTGAAAATAGGCTTGTCGTTCACAACTCAAGGGTATTCAAGGGTTCGTTCTTCTGTGGGTCATCCTGTCACAATCTCAGTGGACATCTTACAGTAGGATGATTTAGCCTTTTAATATGACAACCATACACTACGGGTCCATGTAGAGGTAGTGTTGTCACTCTGGTTTGCCCCCAGACACACATCCCCTAGGCCCGCATCGGCCCAGTTCACACCAAGCTCGCTTCTGCTCGTCAAGCATCGCTCGGTCGTCCGCCTTCGCACCGTCGTCCGCACCGTCGCCGCGGTCGCCGCGGTCGCCGCTCGGTGTCCCCACCGACAAGCCGTGAGCGTCCGTCAAGCCCAAAAGGTAGGGATAGTGAGAGACCATGGCATGTACCTCGTGGCGAAGGAACTGTGGGAGTACAGATCTCAATGTCCCAAACCACTGCAAAGGTTTGCAACGCTGGCGAAAAAAGGGCGTAGAAAATGAGTTGCGCAGCTGATTGGCTGGGAGGCGTGGTAGTACTATCCCCCTGTGTGAACAAGCACTGTGCGATGCGTCTTACACCCAACCATGCAAATCACTCCCCAACAACTAAATGTGTCATTCGCCCTAACCGCCCCAGCACCTTTACGGTGGTCTCAAACAACTCATTATATAATTCACATGCTGTCCTAGCGTCTCTACCGCTCTGTCCGCTCAGTCAGGAGGCACCCCTCGATAGTTGCTGGCCTCACAGTAGGCAAAAAGCTCCTTCACAAATAGAGAGCAAACAGCATCAGTGGGCCGACGAAAGTGTCTCGAGTTGGCGCAGGGTGGCAGGATATTGTATTTGGTGGGCTCTTTTTGTCCATCCGACGTTGGAGGCGCAGTGCCAAACCCCCAATGCAAAACACTGCCAGCCACCCCTTCCAGTCACCGGCCCAGAGCGGATCTGAGTCCTCGCTCCGCGTCGCTTCGTGCCGCACGTCCTCGCAGCCCTCCGCCCGCTTCCTCACGCTGCGCGTCCTCGCGCTGCGCGCTCCTTGAGCTTGGCCATGTCGGTGTCCAACTTGGGCTGCCTCACTCGGCCCTTCACCTCTGCGCCTCAGTGAAAGAGCTGAAGAAAGCGCACTCCGCTGTCGACCGGTGCTCCAAAGGGCGACTGGTCCGAACTCGTGCCCAATTGAAAAGATGGACAAGGGAGCCTCGTGGGCCTCGAAAGGTACAAAGCTGCCAGGATTCCGACGGATGGATGACCTCCTTTCTCAAAGCCTCCTTGTAGTATGTCCCTCCCTGAAGAAATTTGGAAGGTGGATTGGGTTGGTCCTTGATGAAATTCTTCAACCAAAGTCAATGGTGATTCCACTGGTGTCAAGTTCACTTCCACTTTATGGCGTTTTGCCCCTCTCATGCTGACCAGGCGGCGCTGATAGTAGCCCACGTTGCCAGGGATGGAGTACCTCGGGCTGACACGCCACGCTCACAACTCCCCAGTTCATCCCATGGGCCACCCCGGCATTCAAGTAGTTCAACCAACACACAAACCGAACTCATGAGAGGTTTTTTTGTCCAGGTCCGTCAGAGTCCAAGCGGCTTGTTCAGGAACCCAAATCTCAATTGGTAGTGGCCAATAAGATCGCCCTAACACACTGAAGTTCTGCATGAGCAGAATGGTCGAAGTGCTGAAAAGGATTCCTTACTGTGAAATCTTAAGGGTGTGGTGTTGGCTTTTGGTCCGCCCCGCATGGTTCTTGCTGGGAAGGCAATTTGGACCAATTACCAAACCCACCTCGTCTACCTTCGCATAAACACCAGAATAAAGCAAGCAACCTAGTGTTATTTTGCTTCTAAAACAGATCTGTCAATGTCCACAAAGATCTACAAAGACCATGAAAACCTGCCAGCTTCCCTTTCCTATTCAATCCTGTTCAAAAGAAAATGACCACGGTGTCGATGGCTTTTCGGACCCACTCAGTGGTTCTCTGGACCCATCCACCGCCACCGAGTGCCCCCACGGCGTCTTGGCTTTGGCCGTTCCCCTGGCCGAGCGGTGGAGGGTTCAGCGTAAACCAATCCCTACTCCAAACCCAACTCTCCTCTGGGCGACCTGACTCCCAACCCATGCCGGCACGACGCGCCACGGCTCTGCCCTCGGCTCTGTGCCCGGCTCTGCGCCGTCAACGGCCGCGCCGAGCCGCGCTCCCGAGTGCTGGGGCGAGTGCTGGGGTGCACGCTCGGTGGCCTGTGCGGATGGAAAATGTGGGCATCGGTCAGTGGCCTGTTTGAGGTTTGTCAGCCACTTCCAGCCACAAAATGTTACAATATGTTACAATAAAGGTATGCCATCCACTTGTGAACTGGGGTGGACATCCCAGGGTTGTGTGTAGGGTGTTTGACAAATATCGCACATCGCTTCTTGGCAGGCTTACCGCCAGTTCAAGCACCACCCATTTCTATATCAGCAAAGCTCGAAGCTCCTATTACGAACTACATGTCCATAGATGGTTGTCGAATCACAAAAAGTTATCAGTTATCTACAGATCAATACATGTTCCCAGCACTCCCTCTAATTTGGTAGAGATTTGTGGGTCATTGTCATGGTTTCCAACCTTCCCGTCGGCTCTCCAGTCTGCCTTTCCAGCGGCTCTTCCAAACCTGACGGAGGGACGGAGATCGTCCGACCAACCGGGGAGATCCTCTTGGAGAAGGAACGGTTGTAGAATTTCTCTTTTGGTGGCTTTGAGAAGGGATCCAGTCAGCGGCTTCATGCCACATCGAATACCGATCAAAAACGAAATACCTTTGCCTCAACACACACCGACACACCGAATCCCGTACCCCCTGGAGACCGCACGTAGTGTGGCTGCCATGGCAGGTCACATGGCACCGAAGGCGGCGTTGCAAGCGGCACCGAACGTGGCTGACTGAGTGGGAAAGTGGCTGACTGGTTCAAGCGCATGCTCCACACTACAACACGACTCGATCTACCTACAGGCTGAAAGGCAAGCACAACATACCAAAATAGCCTGTGCAGTTGTGATTCCACTTCGTCTGACAAATCACATATGGCCGTTGTTCCATGCTCCACAACACCGATAAAAACACGCAAGGAAAGAAAAACTGGAAGAAAAAAAACAGCAAAAGAAAAACACACCAGAGAGAAACCATCAGCCCCACCGCAGGAAAGGCCCGCGTTCCAAATTGAGACCAATCGCCCGCGGCCGCTCCCCACCGAGCATAGCATCCGCACATCCCCTCCTAAGAGCGGATTTTGGAACCCACAAGGCTCCCAGCACCCGAGGTTGAGACAGTTTGGGAAGGCAATCGCATGAACGGAGATCGCCGTATCAAATGAGGAAGTTCGAAAGAACTTGAATGCACCTGGAACTTTTGAGGCCACGATTCCCGCGATGCGAACTCCACAGCCACGCTTTTCCTCCGGCCCAAGTCGCCTCAGCCTCTGGTGAGGCCCCACGTTGGAAGACCTGCAACGGGCACACCAGGCAGTCGCTCTGCTTTCAGGAAACCAACAGAGACCTCAGCATCCAAAGACCCCGTCTCACCTGGACTCCACGTCCACCTCCTCCACGGCCAGGCTTTACAATCCAATGGGTGCCTCCGCCAGCGCACATGTCGTAAGGTTGGTTCCACACTCTTTGGGAGGGGCCAACTGCGTTTGCTTTTCTGGGTGTGCTTGTGGTTCTATCAGTTGTGGGAATTCATTACCAAAATCCGACATGGAGCTTCCAAATTCAGGAGGCATCTGAAATGCAGGCTGACATGTTGTCTTGCTGCCCTGGGTTCCTGCCGATTGTGAATTGTAAGGCCCGCTACTATTTTTTGTTGGGTGGGGTCAAGACCCAGCCACACCCAGCCATCTGTTCTTTTCTCTAAAGCCGCAGAAGCTGCACACAGCCATGAGTGCAACAATGGCAAGCAGGATCACTTCCAGCCATGTCAATGCCCATTCGGCACACGAGTCAGTTTCACATTGGTGTCGAACGCATGACTTTCCCTCCTGTTCTCATGCATCATTCCGTGTAAGGCTGATCGTCATCATATGCCATTCCATGTCCATGGTCCAATGGATCCTCTCGCCATTGTCTGGATGGTTTCCACAGTGTTGGTCTGGGATCTGCTAACCAACAGGCTTCATCCCCCCCACCTTGGCATCCTGAAGCCGTCTGCCCATGGCCCACCAGGAGCTACGCCAGTTCTATCCTTTCCCAGCCAACATAGGGCACATCCTTTCCTGGCCAACATAGGGCATATCAGCCAGTGCATTGCCACAAAGCACCAGGAGTCCTTTCACAGGGCACAGGGACGCTCAGGGTTGATATAGAGCGTAATTTAATGGTTTCGATCTGCCACAGGGACATGCTGCAGAATTCCATTGTTCCAAATGATCTGATGAACGGTTAATTGATCAAAAAAACAGCGACAGTTCCCATACCATGCCATGCCCATTCAGACTGCCACTCTTTTGATCGAAACGTCCAGATGTGGAGACAACAATTCTCAAGCTCCCTCAATAATGCCCAAATCTCTTCAGAACCAAAGGCCCCAAACACAAAGCACTGTCCTGTGGCAACATCCCTTTTGAGGGGTAGTTACTCCATTGTCTCATAGAGGCATCATAGGCATCCAGCTCAAATCGCCCACCGCTTGAAGAACTCCTTCCCCTCAGCAACAACTCGATGCGAAGACATCCCACAGCCAAGGGCATGGTGTCAGGCATCCGTCTTCTTCGCTTGGGCGCGGCGTGAGGTGTCTCGCAATCACATTGGGAGCGGTGATTGACCCGCTCCTACTAGAGATGCCAAGTTGTCATCGTGGACCTCGGCCTCATCAGGCCTCGTTCAGTGGCCTTGATCGCATGAATTCTCGGAGGGCCACCGTGGCGTATTGCCCCGAGGCGAGGGTCATCTCCACAACAACGCAGACCTGCAGCGTGCGGCCGTGGAACCATTGGTGTGTGCAGGGTATGAAAACTAGAGCCCAAACTTCATCAAATCAAAACCTATGATGCTTCTTCACCAAAGACGTCCTCCTCTTTAAGGAAGTCATCTCCCCATATCTCTTGTCCTTTTCGTGTCTTCGCCTTCCACTCTGGGCCACAATGTCCCGCTGCGTGGCGCATGGCATCTTCCGTCCACAGCGGCCGCACGGCATCGTGGGAGACGCTGCGTCCCTTGAGGCGGTCGAGCGCCGAAATGAAAAACCGCTCGGCGGGCTCGTGGTAGCACAGGGCACGAGCTGACAAATGGCGTGGCTGCCTCAGCTGAACTTAAAAGCATCCCTCCGGGTCGGAAACTGAACGTGTAGTTGAGCGCATGTTTGAACATGAAGAAGTCATCCAAACCACAAAAGACCTGTAAAAACATGTACAAGTACACATGGTTTATGCCAGTGGGTGTGATCAATGCCCGGAGCCTGACGCAAAACATGCGCTTAGTCTAATTATACTCTCTCTCTCTCTCCATAGATTTGACTCCAAATGGTTGTTTTGGGTGTTGTTGAACCGCTGCCAAATATGACATACATATCTAAATCATTCTAAATCAATATTTATATATTTTTGGTATTTATATAATTCTATATCCATATCTGTATTCAAACTTGGCCGTCTAGGGGGGCTGCACAAAGTTGAAGCTGGGCAAGGCCCTAATTGAATATGTTCTGTCAAGGCACAAGATCCAATGTATCCATGGACCGATCTTTCTGGGGAACCAGTGTTCGGTCCTCGGATGTCATGTCCTCGTCCTCATGTCCTCTTCAAGTTCATTTGGTGGCTGCATCTGTTTTCTCCTCCTTCCCTTCAATCCCGTACCCATCCAGGTGGCACTATACAATGCCTGTAGGCGGTTGCGCGATGGTTCTTCTCCAGTGGGCCCAGCAAGTGCGCAAGCTCGTCCATTGACAGGTCATGTTCCTCCAAAAAGGTGCCACAGAAGCTGCAGGAGAATCACAGGGGTTGATCGACGATCTTTCCAACGTCCAACCCTTCGATGTCAATACCAAAACCACTGAGCCCACTGAGCCTCTATAAGTATGGCAGCTCTCCGCTTCAACCACCGCAAAGTCTGCATGGAGTGTTTGAGAATCGAAGGCAACACACACACACACCTAATTTCCAGTAAACACATATAGTGAAACCCACACATTGGGTCTATCCTATTACCTGTAACAGTGGATGATGAGGGTTAGTAAAGGCCTTGTTCAAAAATCATGATACCGTAATTGTGTACGGACTGTTGCAGGTAAAAGGACAGACCCAGCTCACACAAATATTGGATGGAGTTTTGTAACCTTGGCCTCAAACGTCTGTTGGTGGATTCCCAAACGACCGAAGAATGATGGGAAGAGCAAAGAGAGGAATTCCTCCAACTGCCGGTTGCCACGCCCCAGACACTGGAGCGGAATCGCCAGCAAGCAGGAACCCACTCCAAATCGCAGGGTGCAAAGCTGTTGACGACAAACCAATGAATCATAAATTGCCTAACTTGTCAAGTTCAGCTTTGACGTTTAAAAACCGCTGCACAATTCAACCAACTCTGTTTATGGCACTGGCTTCCAGCACAGCTCTCATGGCACACACCAGCTTTTGATTTCCACTTCCAGCTACTTCCAGCAACCTGGCCTGCCCCACGCCCCGCCGCCCCACGCGATGCGCCTGTAAGACCTCCTGGTAGATCTGTCGCATCAGTACCGACAGGTTCTCATGCCACTCCCTGGGGCCGGCGATGGGCAGCAGCACATCCGTGATCAAGGCCGTCTCGCCTGTGGAGAAGGGATCTGTTTTTGGCACGCCTGACTCATCAGTGGGATTTGTGGTTGTTGTGAATGAACCTGTTCCAGCTTTTATGTTGATTCCGGGTCTGGTGGTGTGATAAATGGACCTGTTTCAGGTGAACTTTGATTCGTCTCACCGGCGCCATCTGCATGGTCTGAGTCTGTTGGATCTATGTTGTCCCAAGGTATCTTCGGAGCTTGGCCAAACAGAAATCCAGAATGGTCGAAGGCAGGGAGCTCAAGGCCTTGAAAGTGTGAAATCAGTCAACACTCTCAGCTTGGCTGGTGGATTCTGAAGCAGCCACCTACAAACAGTACAAAAAACACTGCTGCCCTTCCTTTGGGGAATCCATCCGGATATAAGTGCCATGATTCATATGAGTTTTTGGAGCACTGGCACTGGGCAAAGTAATTTTGCATCATGCTGAGGGTCCCGTCGAGGTAACTAGTACTGCTGGCTGTTTCAAGAGCAATCCGGGCTGCCGAGATTTTTTCCGCTGTCTGTCTTCATCACCTACAGCATCTACGAATCTACACATGAGTTGACTGTCATTACCCCAGCTCCACTCCCAGCCTGGCTCAATCCGCCGCACCTTGGGCGGTCCCCGGTGCTCCGGCACCAAGGAGGCTTTGTCATAGACGAGGTCCCCAGGCAGAACATCGGAACCGAAGGCTGACAAACGGCGCCCAAGGACTCGGTTCCACAAGTCAGAGGTGAAGGATCTCCTCAGGCGTCGTGCCATCGGACGTGCGTCGCAGGCGCTACAGCGACAAAAGGGTGAAACATGCTGGAAGAGGCAACAAGAAACATCAAAAACCAACCTCAACGCGAGACCTCCCGATCAAACCAAACCAATTGGAAGAGGATCTGCATGTTCACCACCTGCAGTCGTCTTGAATACCCTCTTGTGCAACTTCCAAATGCCCAAAACGCCTTGGTGGGACGGTCACAAAACCCGGTGCCCCTCCAAGACGATGTTTCCCCTCCCGAAAGAAATCGAAGTCTTGATGCACCGCCTAATGGCCTAATGGGTTCCGAGCACGTGCTGGTGTACAAAAGAGCTCCTTCTGTACCGCTGCCACTGATTGACCATGATTGACCAAGAATCACAAAGAGCAAGAGCTGCTGGGTCTGTAAAGCCCTGACAGCACCGGCAAAGTCCACAGACGGCGCAGCCCACAAGTGTCGCAGGACCTCCCGTTCCATGCCGCAGCGCCGGGGCATCAAGTTGAGAAGAGCTTGATATCCTTGGCTCCAGCATCTCGCGTTGGAAAATGTTTGTGTATGAGATTTTGTGTCCAGCGGTCACTCAACATTTGTCATTCCCATGCAACCATCCAGTCACCCTCAGTCATGGCTCATACCAACGATGAGAGCACAAACCTTCGGAACTGGTGGTGCTTGAAATTGGGCACCAAGAACTGCCATGAAATCCAACAGCCTTAGGAGCTGAGTGGTGTCCTGCAACCTGCAGTTGATGTCGGCTTGCACGTCAACAACTTTGAGGCAAATCTTTTTGGAACGGTCCCCTAGTAACCAGGGCATCGCTACTACTAGCTAGTAGCGAAAAGCCCTTTCCCCAAAACGTGGGGTGTGCCAGAACCCCGCAGGCTGATCCTCCAAGCTTCTGCCAGCCCGGAAGGCCTCCTGAAACTCGCTCGTGGCCTCATGCATGCTACCTGAGTGGAGTGAGCATTTCGATTCAACAAAGTGATGCAAGGGCATTTGTGTGGAGAATTCACACAGAATCCGGCTTTTGTGTTTCATCCATCCCACTTTGTAAAATATCCAAGGTGCACGGACCCTAAAAACATCTTAAAAGC